AAACAAAGTGGAGACAGATGACACTGAACTGACGACGATGAATGCAAATTCTCAAATCCCACAATGAAAATTACTCAAATTACGCACACACCGAAATGAGTCGTCGAATCGAAACGCATCAATCTGAACGCATTTCCCTCAGAATTCATCGAAAATGAATGAAGAAAAATTAACGAACGAACGAACATTATCGTATAACAAATTGACAACAATAAATGAATAACAATTAACAAGAAACAATCAAAATTTAAACACAACAAATGTTTTTTGCATGATTTGAAACGAAATGTTCAAAGAAAACAACCAACCGAACAGTCATTTCTCCAATTCACAACTAATTTAACGATTAACAAATATGAAATTTCACAGAAATTTGATATTTTTGAGGAGATATCGTTACAAAAAACCATAAATTTTGCTCGAAAAAACGCGCAAAAACGGAACAGAGAATAAAAAGTGGAAAAAATAAACGAAACTTAATAGAAAAACACCGAGAAAATTGTATCTCACAGATGAAGAAAGAACCACGAAATCCAGAAAACGAAAACAGAACGATAAAATACCAAATACAAGTGGAATAAATCGGAAATGATTGCATAAACAATGACGAATGAATTATGAAACGTAATATCGAATGTCGGGCAGAGAATGAGTGCTTTTTGATGGAATAAAAAAATCGAAACTTAAAAATCAACAACAATAACAAGAATTAATACACGAATAATCACTTTTGTAGCAATCAGTGTCAAACAACTAAACCGATTAAAACATTAATGTGAACGTATTATTTTCGACCTTTTCAACAATAACTTCAATATTTCTAAAAGGAAAAATAAAACATTCAAAAATATCACAGGAACAATCAACAAACAAACAGCAATTAAACGAACGTTAAATAGAACAATAACGAAAGAAAACTGAGAATTCGGATCACTACTACTCTCTAACACAAGGAAATTCTCAAAACTGAATTCTCAAAGAAGTGGAAACATTCCATGCAAAATCACATTCAACGCAGTTTGCTTCTTCCAATCGCAGTCAACATGAAGAAGGCATGAAAAGTACTCAATTTATAATAAGAAACAACGAAAACTTCGCGTGATACACTACTTAATTGTAGCTGAAGAAGATGGCCACAAATCAGAAAACATAAATTTGCAATTCAGTATGGTCTTTCTTCAAATAAACTTCCTAAGTATACATCAAACATCACTGAAACTCAATGAAATCTGAACAATTTTCATTTGAAAATAAACTTACTGCAAAAAATTCATTGCTTTTTTTTCAAATTCATTGATTATATGATCACTTTTCCTAGAATCTCCTATAGCGCACTAAATTCAACGTATAAATTTATGCTTAAAAAGGTGAACTGCTATAATTTCTTTACATGCACACAATGCACAAACGTGGCGTGGTACGCTTTCATTATGAGTTCAATATAATACAATTTTATGAAGATATAATTAAATTTTCTCGATTTTGATACGTTTCAATGTCATGCCATTCGTACTGCGTGCTTGAGCCACACCAACTCCAACACCAACACCAGCAGCAGCTCTCATGTTATTATTATTATTGTTGGTATTTTGATAGAACGATGAATCATTTTTTTGTTTTTGCTCAATGAAATATTTTTCCTCATTGGATTCCCGATCGCTGGCCGTTATAATTGTCGTCGCACTTGCAGGAACTTTTTTCATGTTTTCACTCTCATAATTACCACCATATTTGGCTGCATATCTGGCTGTCGTTGCCGTGTTTCCAACCACGAACGTTCCTTTTTTCATCGTATTCAGTTGACTATAATTGGCATTATTGTTGACCATCATCGCTGAGGCATTTGCTGCGTAAGCGTTAGTTTTGTTGTTGTTGTTGGTGTTATTGTTCTTGATTTGACGACCGCTAGTGAAGTCGACAGAGGATGTCACAGAGGATTTTGGTTTCGGGTTCGGATTCGGAGGCTTCACGCTAAAGTTCGACTTCAAGTTGTTGCGCTCATATCTGGTGGGTCGAGCATCGTCCGGACGTTTTTTTGTGGCTAATTCTCGACTGCCCTCGCCTCGCGCAGCACCGCCTCCACCTCCGCCACCTCCATCATCGTCCACATCGTTCAGTTGTTGATAGTCGCCATTCGTACGTTTCGTATAGGATGATCCATTCTGATGGTACATGGTGGTGATTCCATCTGAATACTCAACTTCGACGAAATCTTTTGCGGCTGGCGCAGCACGTTTGCGTACAACCCTGAAAATGTTTTTTTTTTGTTGATGGTTTTATTACTGATTGCTTTGTGATGAGCACAATAACGGGATAGTAATGATAATGAAGATAGAAATATTGATAAGGATAAGGATAATTACACACTGACATTGAAATATTTTCCCAGTGTTCACTACTAATCACTCAAGTGAAAATTCTTTCCATGAATCTGGTTTCTAAATATAAATTTCAGTGGAAATTTACAGTGAGGCGAGTTTTCGGTGATGGATCCATTCGGAATAATTAAGCTCAATGAAACACTGATAGATACGTACCGGACAGCTGGCACAACAGCCGCATCGCTGATTTCCTCATCTTCGCCATCACACAACGATGAGGAATCGTCGTTTTTTTGTTGCGATGATTTGCTGACGTACTCCATCAAGGTTCGAGAACGACCTGAATGAGAGACGGGAATATTACTCGTCTTTGAAATTAAATTAAATGATTGGGGAAATTGAAATGATTCAGTGAGAAAATTCATCGTGGATGCGAATACCGGGCGCAAAACGATACCGAAACGATACCCTCGCGTCTTTAGCGAAAATGAAAAAGCAGAAATGAGTGGTGAATGGAACAGAAATGATGAGTTTTGGTGAAATGATGAAGAAAAGGAAAAGAGCAGCTACTAACCCGCTAGCGGTGCTCGTTTCAAGTCTTGATTATGCATTTGTGCAGCGATTGCCTGTTCCTCGGATTCATTGTAATGTGTCAATGAGAGGGGTGAAAGGTTAGGTGCAACCAAAAGACATACTGATAACAATAATACGGCCAAACAAGTGCCTGCATGCGTACTTCGTTTTGAGCCATTCGCTATCACCGCTTGAAGTTTACGCAACTGTGCCAAATAGTTCTGATTTTGTCTGGTCAACTGCTCCACCTGAAGTAAACTTGAAACATCATGAAACATCG